GCGCGTGCCTGTAGTTCCAGTACTAGGAAGGCTGAGGGGAAGGATGGCCGGAGCCCAGCAGGTCGAGGCTGCGGTGACCGGGAGCGGCCACTGCACTCCAGGCTGGGTGACAGAGTGAGACTCCAACTCAAATTAAAAAAAAAAAAGAGGGGAAGGCCTAGCGGTGGTGAATCGCCGATTTGCCCGGGGCCGCCTCCCACTGCTGGCCTATCTTAGGCTGAGGGCAGTGGCCTCAGGGGCGGGCGGGTGCCCCCTGCGGGGCACGGCCTCACGCTGCGCTCAGCGGGTTGGTCACACGGCCCAGGAAGTGCAGGGAAGCGGCATCACTCTCATGCAGGGCAAACAGGAACGGGCTGTTCAGGGTCACCTCCAAGACCTCGGGCCCGTCGGGCTTCTGGGCAGACTCTGCCGGCTGCTCTCCCTCATCTGCTTCGAGTTCAAAAAGAACGCTGTTCAGCACCTGCGAAGCAGCACACGTCGGGGTTGGGATCGCTTGTTCCGGGGGTGCACCTGGTAGCCCTGCTGAGGGCTAGGGGTGCAGGGAGGGCACGAGGCGGCTCCACTGGGCCGTCCTGGAGGGCACGTTCTGCCAGCCTGCTAGGAAGACGCACAGTGCCTGCCTGCACCTCCGTGTGGACGACGGAGTGGTTGTGTGGACGCCCCCTTACTCAGCCGTCAGGGCCCACCTCAAGGCTGGCTCCTTCCCTCCACCTCCACCCTCCCCCTCGCTGTCCAGCTGGAATTCCTGGCTCTCAGTCGTGGCTCGTCAGTGCTCAGCTAACTCAGCACATCCCAGGGTTTCTCCCCAGCTCCTAGCACCCAGCACAGGGCCTCGGACATCCAGGTGCATCCTTGGCAGTGGCAGATGTCCGTTCCATGTGGCAGTAGGACCCTCCGCCTACTGGGGAGCATTTCCCTGAAGAAGGGCTGTACCCCAGGGGGCCAGACTCAGGCACTGTCTTTCCTGGCCCCAGTCCTAACCTTGCTCTGGAGCCTGGGGAGGACCCTGAGGCCAGGCCGGCCTGAGCAGCCAGGAACACACTCGCAGCCGGGAGGAGGCAGAGTCAGGGTGGGGAGGGATTTGCTGCTCTGAGCCTGTCCCTGGAAAGCCCCAGAAAGCTCTGGCCGCTGCTTTCCCAACCTTGGCCCTGTTCTCTCCCTCCTTCCCTGCTGACCCACCCAGCTTCCTCTGTGTCTCTCCCATCGCCACACAGGGTCCAGGTCAGACACAGACACAGGCTCGCACGTACCTTGCCCACTCTGGGATTGGCGTCGCCGATTCTGCCCAGGTTCGCCTCGGCACCCAGCAGGGTGGGCAGCTGGGCCTGGGTGAGCAGGTCCTGCAGGTCATAGGATGCTTGCAGCCCCAACTGGGGCATGGTCAAGTGGACGGCCCTGGGGATACAACGCACAGTTAGGAAGGTTTTAAGGAGGCTGCCCCCGAGGCTGCAGGACACATGGCAAGGGATCTCCAGGAAGCCAGGTGGGCCTATGTTCCTTGCAGTAAATACAATCAAAATCCTTTGTGACATTTGAAAAATGGTGAGAAGGACACAGAACATTTACCCGTGAGGATCTCGGGCAATGACAGACAGTCGTCTGTTCTCTGGTCTACTCTTTTTAGGTTGACCGCATTGAAGGTGTGTTACTTGGCCAATCTTAAAAGTGCCGTTCTTTAAAATAATGCATTATGTTGTACTAGCTACCTCTCGGAGGAGGTCTGGCTGGTGAGACACCCACGGAAGGGAGAGAGGCAGAGTGTGTGGTGGCAGTCTCTGTGCTGGGCACGTTGCCGTGTCAGCTCGACTGACCTTTCATGCAGAGCATTCCTGAGAGCCCGTGGACGCTCCCAGTGACATACCCAGGCCTCGCAAGAGTTGACGGTACACCCACGTTTGTAGCAGCAGTTTGCAACTGCCAAAAGGGGGGAGCAACCCAAGTGTCCATCGATGGATGGATTAATGGATAAACAAGTGTGATTCACTCGCACGATGGGATAGTGTTCGGCCTTAAAAAGAAAGGGAATTCCGACACGTGCCACAACGTGGACAGACCTTGAGGACATTATGGCGGTTGCCAGGGCTGGGGAAAAGGGGAAATGGGGAGTTCGTGTTTCACGGGGTCAGAGTTTCAGTTTGGGAAGATGAGAGAGTTCTAGAGATGGATGGTGGTGATGGCTGCACAACAAGGTGAACGTGCGTAATGCCACTGAATTGAGCTACTCTAAATGGTAACGGTGGCAATTTAAAATGTATATTTTTTCCACAGCCACTTTTACAAACCCATCTGAAAAAAACCAGAGTTGCCATCAGGTCGCCATCCATGTCCCTTAGTGCCTGTCTTCGGGAACAGAGTCTGGGCCTCACTGACCTGGGCCTCGTATGCAGGTCCAGCCTAGCGCTCTGTGAAAGGGAAGTGGCTCCCTCTTGCCACTGAAGGAGAGGGAGCTGAAGCCACCTTTCTCCCCCCCGCCTCCATCTGGTTCTGGACAAGGGAAGCTCCCTGAGACAGCCCCATCCCCTGGTCTCAGAGGAGTCCAGCCCTTGGGAAATCAGTCCCAAGAAACTCTTGAGCGCCTCAGGTGTGCGTGGGGGAGGGCAGCGTGAGGTCTGAACGGTCCCTCTCAGAGAACAGATTGAGATGTTTTCTCTTCCTCCACGACTGGCGGGTAAATATACGTGCAGAAAAGCATCCTTGCTCCCCCTTTTACCTCCCCTACGCCTAAAGAACAGGCACTCTGTCAAGAGGGAGACCGACGGCTGAACGGAGAGATGGCAGGTGGACAACAGGCTGCCTGGCCAGCCGGCACCACCACCCCCCTCCCTGCTCTGTGCCCAAGGCTCAGCTGCTACCTGCATGAGTGTCCACTGCACCCCCCGCCCCCACTCTGGGCAGGACAAGCAGACCCCCGGAGCTTCCTACCGGGGAGGTGGGCTCTTGATCCAGGCGGAGGAGTCATGCCGGAAGGTGAGGGCCTCCACCTGGTCCAGGTCGGAGGTGTGGAGGGGTTGGATCAGCAGCAGGCAGGCACTGTCACCGAGGGGGACTCGGGTCACCGAGAAGTTGTTCTGGGCATCGCTCCAGTGCTGGAAGTGGCCCGTGCCCGAGAGCATGGGGACGGACACTGAGGTGCTGTTGTCCACCCAGAACTCCCGGGGCCCGGCCAGCAGGGAGAAGCCCTTCATCTTTCCTGGAACCCAGACAGGAAACAAGCAGGGCAGGGTCAGCCGGGCGGGGGCCCACTCTTGCCCTCTCCTGCCTCGACCTGTTTCCCGGGCCCGCCCCAGGCTGCTCCGTGTTCTTCTGGCCCCAGGCCCCCACCGGTCCCAGGACCCCGGTGTTGCTCCAACGTTCCTCCTGCAAAATGCAGCCTCTTGCATTTACTCAGGTGGTCCCGACGGCCGCTTGCTGAAGACACAGGACGTGCCAGGCACCCAACCTGAGGTTTTGCAGCTGTCACCTTGAGGAGCTGACCCTGCTGGCACCTGCCAGGTAAAGTCAAGCCTAGATCTGTCCTGGTCCAAAGCCTGTACTATGCCACACTCACTTTTTTTTAATAGACATGATGTTTCAGAGCAGTTTGGGGTTCGCAGCAAAATGGAGCAGCGAGTTCCGAGGGTCCCGTTAACTCCTGTTCCCGTGTACGCACACCCCCTGTCAACATCTTGCCCAGAGCGGTTCATCTGTTAAGGGATCAGCTTACACAGACATGTCATCATCACCCAGTGACCGGTTCACGAGGGCTCTCTCCTGGTTTGCCTTCCATGGGGTGGGACACGCATCGAATGAATGTGTCTGTCTGCCATAGTAACATCATCGAGTTCTCTCCCTGCCCGAAGCGCCCTCCGTCCGTGCTCGCGCTTCAGCCAGCAGCCAGTCCTGGCCATGGCAGAGCCCGGGACTGTCTTCTGGTACCCACCTTCCTTCCTCACAGTCACAGAATGCAGAGCCGGTCACACAGGCTCCGGGACCCAGGGCTCCTCTCTATCTCCGTAGTCCCGTCCTTCAGCTGCCTGCCTGGCTCTCTGTCCCTTTGAGGTTGTATCTCTTCCTGACAACCCCACGACAGCTCCCAAGCATGCCCCTCCAGCCCAGCAGCTCCTTCAGGGCCTGGACTCTTGCATGACCTTCGAACTCCGCTCCCACCTCCAGTGCACGCACTGCAGGCCACCGGATGACCTCTGAGCCCAGGAGAGCCTTCAGAATGTCTGCAGCCGTGCTTTCCCAGGCCCCGTTCTCTGTTTCGACGCTCTGGCCCAGCCCCCTGAGTGCTGCAGGCTCCCACGCTTGCTTGCTTCAGCCCACCCACGTGGCGGCCTCCCTCCCCGCTGGGCCCTCCACAAATACCTTGTCAAGCGAGATCTATGTCCCAGGCATGTGCCCAAGAGCTCTATCTCCCTGTTTACGCTTTAGCACCCTGAGGTCAGGGCCTGAACAGTCTTCCTCTTGCCCCCTCGGAGACACTTGGCTTAGAGCCTTGCAAGTAGCACATCCTTAATGAGGACTTGTTGAATGAATGAGCAATCTTTGTCGTAGGGACTTTTCGGTGCTACCCCTACCCATGGAAAAGTGACTTCAACAAGAAAATTGGTCATTTCTGCATGGGCCAGCGACCTTAGTCGTTGGCCTTCTCAAGAGACACGAACCTGTCCCTTCCGGCCTGTGGGGCCAGGGGATGTGAGTTTGTGTCCTGAGACCCCCAGCCACCCACCCACTCCACCCCCACCCCATCTGTGACTGTGCCATCTCGAGCAAGGAATTTTGTTCTTCTGAATCTCTATTTCTTTACCAGTAGACAAAGGCACTAATACTGCTTCACCACATCATAGCGGGATTAAATGATTAGAGCACAAGGAGGCAGTGGGGTGGCAGCAGGTGCGTGGGGGCAGCAGGGTGGGTAGCTGGATGCCCCTCCGAGGATGGGTGGTCTCCAGGCACGTCCTCACAGCTACTCCCTGCCCAGCTCCAAGACCTGGCCTGCTCAGCTCAGCTCTGTGTTGGACACTGCGTCCACAGAGATAGGACGCTGCCCCCCTTTGGCCTGGATCTGGGGCCAGAGCCGTTGGGAGGGTTTGCCTCACCTTGGAAGTGGACGTAGGTGTTGAAAAGCAGGGTGCTGTCTGCGCTGACTGCGGTCAGGGGGCTGCTCAGCTTCCACCCTGTCACGGCCTGCACAAACCTGTCGATCTTCTCAGCAGCAAGATCTGGGTCGGTGGAGAAGTCCAGGGAGCGTGGGAGGACGACGGGTGCAAAGAGCGCCAGGCTCTGCACGAACGGCTGCTTCAGGCGCAGGCCTGGCGCTGTGAACAGGCACACTGCCGTGGACAGCTGCAGCTGGGCCTGGCTGGCGGGCCCGCCCTGGGAGACCAGCAGGCCCTGGATGGCCCGCAGGGCAGAGAGGACCTTGTGCCCATCCAGCCGGGAGGTGCAGCCCTGGTCCTCCACAGGGACGCCCAGGAGCGCCTGCAGACTGCGGGCCGTGGGATCCAAGGCTCCCAGGTAGAAAGAGGCAATGGTGCCAAAGAGAGCTGTTGTGGACAGGACGACAGACCCGTCGGCCACGCTCGACATCTCCCTCAGCGCCTTATACATGCGGAAGCCCAGGAAGTTGGCCAGCATCCCGACTTTCGCCGCCCTCGACTGGTCTTCGGCCTCAAGCGTCTCCGCCACCAGTGCCAGTTGGTCTCGCAGGGCCTGCTCATCGGCAGGGGCCGTCTTGGCCTGAATCGGAGCAGGTGTGAAGGTCGGGTCTCTGGACGTCACTTCGTCGGACTTCTCCAGCTGCTCACAGCTGCTCTTGCTGTAGGTGAGGAGGTGGAAGGGATGGATGTATATCCGGTCACCAGCAACCAGCCCAGCGCACGTCAGGAGGCAAAGGATGACGGCCCTCAGGTTCACGCCAACAGGAGCCATCTCTGGCAGAGGCTCTGGCTTGTGTGTGCCCTGAAACGTCACTTTGTACGGGGAGAAAGGTGATTATTAAGCGCCTTCTAGTCAGACTTTAATTGTCCCAATATTTCCTGCAGCTATTTAGCCCAGGAGAAAGCCGCTTGTGTCTACCAATAACGAAGAGAACTGGATTCAAAGCTCCACGTGGAAAGTGTCTGTATGATCCAAGCACCACATGCACTGTTATGGGCTAAATTGTGTTCCCTCTTCCCCTAAAATCCACGACTTGAAGTCCCAAACTGCAGGACCTCAGAATATGACTGCATTTGGACACAAAAGCTTTAAAGAGGCAATCAAGTCAAAATGAGGTCATGAGGGCAGGCCCTATCTAATCTGATGGATGTTCTTGCAGAAAGAGGAGTTTAGGACACAGACACACACAAAGCGACGAGGACACAGGAGGAAGACGGCCGTCTGCAAGCCAAGCAGAGAGGCCTCAGGAGAGCTCAACCCTGCCAACACCTTGATCTCAGGTTTCCAGCCTCCAGGTTGGTGAGATAATCAATTTCTGTCATTGAAGCCCCCCGGGCTGTGGGCTTATGGCAGCCCGATAAACGAAGGCACACACATGCCTGTGAATGAAAGTTCTTCCCAGCCGGGCTCGGTGGCTCAGCCTGTAATCTCGTGTCTTGGGAGGCTGAGGTGAATGGATTGCCTGAGCCCGCGGGTTTGAGACCCGCCTGGGCAACTTGGTGAGACCTCATCTCTACAATAAATCAAAATGAGCTGGGCGTGGTAGCGCGCGCCTGTAGTTCCAGGTACTCGGAAGGCTGAGGCGGAAGGATCGCCGGAGCCTAGCAGGTCAAGGCTGCAGTGGCCGGGAGTGGCCACTGCACTCCAGTCTGGGTGACAGAGTGAGAGTCGGACTCAAAAAAAAAAAAAAAGAAAGTTCTTCCCTATAAGAACTTGTGCCAGTCAGTAGGTCATTTTTTGGGCAGGGGGGAAGGTCGGTAGGTCTCTGTGGAGACCCCGAGATGCTAACAAATGGCTCTGGGTGTGGCCTGGGAACAGGATTTTAGTCTCTGCGTGGTCCTAGCATGCAGCCAGGATTGAGCACCATGGGCTCGGTCCAAAGCTGGGTGTTTCCCACCCGCTTCAAGCCCCAACCAGCTCTCAGCTCTCCCTCATAGTGTCATCCCCCTGAGCTCCAAGATCACGCCCACCAGCACTGCCTTCTCAGCTGCAGTGGGGCTTACTAGTCTGTGCTGGGGCCAGGTATAGAACTTTCTTAAACTTCTCAGGTGACCCCGAGAACCCCTGCCCTGGACACGGGCCACCAGGGTGGGCCCAAGGGGCTCTGGCACCCAACTCTCTCAAAAGCCTGTGACTTTGCTCCAGCCCCAACTGTCAGTAGCACCAGGGGTGCTGGCCTGAGGTCCTGGAAGAGGAGGTTCTGGGCCTGGCCCTGCTGTTGGTTTGTTCCGTCTAGCAATTTGATTCTATTGGTTCGTTCCGTCTAGGAATTTGGACCACGTCTCACTCGTTTCTGGCAGAGAGGTGTGCTGGGATACTTGTCACTTCTTAGCCTTAGTGGTCCCCGTCTCACTCAGCTCCCCCCGCCACACACGTACACCCCCAGGGCCGAGCATGACTGCTTTGGGCGTGTGGCTTGTCACCACGGACACAAGGTCACACTGTGTCACCCAAGCACGCGGTCACCCTTCTTGCATTGACCTGCACCTATCCTGAGCTCGGTGCCTCCATGGAAGTGCCCAGGGTGGTGTGTTCTGTCTACCCACGCAGTTGCCAGAGGGACTTTGGCCCGGGACCCTTGCCACCAGCCCACCCTCCTTCTCACGCGATCCACTGTTCCCATGACGCTGAACAATGGAGCAGAAAACGCTCCCTGTTCCCTCCTGTGCAGAGAAGCCCCAGCGGCCCGTCATAGCCAATCCAGAGGGACCGCCCGCGGGAGGAGGCCTGCCTGTCAAGTGGGCCAGGCCGCCCCCCCACGCACAGGCCCCCCGCCTGCTCCGCCTCATCGCCCACCCCATCTGGCAGTCCCTGCTCAGCCAGCCCCTCCCAGCCGTTTCTGAGGCAGCGGCGCCCTGGGGTCTCGGCTGTGAGCT